CGCTGCGACTGCGCTGGGAGCTGGAACCTGGGCGCACGCGCAGCGCGCGCGATCCTGCCACCGAGTGCTTCTCCTGCCGGCGCTGCACCGGACGGGAGCAGGCAGGCGCAGGCAGGGCTCAAGCCCATGGCCCGACCCGCCCCCACCGGAGGCGCCGACGCTCGAGCGGGATGCACCGGGCCCTGTGTGCGCTCCTCCTCGCGGCCGCCTCCTGCGGCAGCGGCACCTCCGGCGTGCCCCGCGCGGACGAGCCTGGCCACAATGCCAGCGACGCGGACACGAGCGCTGCAGGCACCCAGAGTGGCACGAGCACCGCGGGCGAGCAGGACGGCGCGAGCGCTGCAGGCAAGCACGAGCTCGCCGACATCGAGGGCCCGACCCGGCCCTCGCCCTGGGACGGGCCTGTCGCGCACGGGAGCGACGATGGCATCGCTGACTCGACGGGCGGCCCCGACTGTGCGGATAATGGGTCCTGCGCCTTCGACGCCTGGCACGAGGAGGAAGAGGCGGCTGCGAATCTGGTGGAGAAGCTGCTGAGTCCCAGGAGGTACAACTATCAGAGGCTGCCTCCGAGGGCCCAGGGGACTCCCGTGAGGGTGACCCTCGACATCAAGATTGAGCGGATCGGGCCGTTGAAGGACCAGTCATACCACATTGATGTGTACATGGTTCAGCATTGGATGGACCCGAGATTACGGTGGGACGCGCGCCAGCACCACGGTATTACCTTCCTGAATTTTCTGAACCAGGATGAAGTCGATAGGATATGGGTCCCAGGAACCGTATTCTTCCACGCCACTCCGTTCGAGAAACGCCCTGTACTCAGAATGATTGTGTACGATTCTGGACGCGTGGAGTACACGCAGCATTTCCTGATGTCTGTTCGTTGCGTGAATAAGGAGTTTGCTTTTCCATTCGACATCAACTATTGTACTCTTCGTATCGGAAGCTACATCTGGAACAAAACCGAGGTCGACTACAAATGGGATCGCGACTACTTCCCCGAATTCTTTGCGAAGGGTTCTTGGGAGTTCGACGAGCACAAGTTTCAAAATGGCTCACTGCATGACTATGGTGAGTGGAAAGGTTCACGTGGTGCGTCCCACCGGCAGTTGGTGGCTTACTTCCAGATGTCACGGATAGCAGCACGATACTTTTGGAACATATACGTTCCTGTGTTTTGCGTTTCTCTGATCGCCTATTGCTCCTATTGGATCGGGCCTTATGCAGCACCAGCGCGGGCAACCATAGGCGTCGTCACAGTGTTAACATGCACGGTGCAGTTAGACCATGCGAAAAAAAGCCACGATGCGGTTCAGTTCACAGCCCTGGATCTCTACGTTCTCTTCGCACTGTTGTTTTGTATACAGCTGCCTGCGGCAAATCACACCACCGTGCCAGCCCGACATCTGGGGTGGCACCTCGTGTTCCGAGACTTGGGAGATTCGTAACGTGTAACCTGCTCTTCCGCGTCGTGGCGGTGCTGGTGGAGGAGGAGGAGGCCGAGGAGGAGGAGGAGGAGGCGGAGGCGGAAGCGGAGGCGGAGGCGGAGGAGGAGGAGAAGGAGGAGGATGATGAGGAGGAGGAGGAGGAGGAGGGGGAGGGGAAGAGGAGGAGGAAGAGGGAGGATGGGAGGATGAGGAGGAGGAGGAGGAAAAGGAGGAGGGGGAGGGAGGACGGAGGGGGGAGGGGGAGGGGGAGGGGGAGGGGAGGGGAGGAGGAGGAGGAGGTTGAGGAGGAGGAGGAGGCGGAGGATGAGGATGAGGAGGAGGATGAGGAAGACGGAGGGGGAAGAGGAAAAGGAAGACGAATAATACGAAAACGAAGACGAACATTGGTGATAATACCAGTGCTGATAATACTACCACTACTAATAAGAATAAGACGAATCATACTACTACTACTACTACTACTACTACTACTACTACTACTACTACTACTACTACTACTACTACTACTACTACTACTGACTACTACTACTACTACTACTACTACTACTACTACTACTACTACTACTACTACTACTACTACTACTACTACTACTACTACTACTACTACTACCAAGAGTAACATCAAACATATTACTAATCACAGTAACCGTAATGACAGTAATAGTAAGAAGGAGGAAGCATCACACTTACAAGAATAATGATAGGAAAAGGAGGAGGATGAGGACGATGAGTAGTTTTATCCGAGGAGGACGACTGTGGCGGACGAGGGGTATGCAACACATAATGATGATTATGATGACCAGGGTGTTGATGTTGATAATGCTGCTGATGATGATGCTGATGATGATGATGCTGATTATTATGATGATGCTGCTGCTGATGATGATGATGATGATGATGATGATCATGATGATGATGACGATGATGATGCTGATGATGATGGTGGCGATGACGGAGGTGTTGGTGGTGAGGCTGCTGCTGATGATGATGATGACGAGGAGGAGGGAGGAGGAGGAGGAGGAGGAGGAGGAGGAGGAGGAGGAGGAGGAGAGAGGAGGAGGAGGAGGAGGAGGAGGAGGAGGAGGAGGAGGAGGAGGAGGAGGAGGAGGAGGAGGAGGAGGAGGAGGAGGAGGAGGAGGAGGAGGAGGAGGAGGAGGAGGAGGAGGAGGAGGAGGAGGAGGAGGAGGAGGAGGAGGAGGGAGGAGGAGGAGGAGGGAGGAGGAGGAGGAGGAGGAGGAGGAGGAGGAGGAGGAGGAGGAGGAGGAGGAGGAGGAGGAGGAGGAGGAGGAGGAGGAGGAGGAGGAGGAGGAGGAGGAGGAGGAGGAGGAGGAGGTGGAGGAGAGGAGGAGGAGGAGGAGGAGGAGGAGGAGGAGGAGGAGGAGTACGAGGAAGAGGAGGACGGCCGTCACACATGGTACCTTTTGTCTTCACTTCTTGAGGAGCTCTCATGCAGCTTATTCGGGCGGAAGGTTGTGGTCGTAGCCCGGTGCCAGCTGCAGGCTGCGGGCAACCTCCCCCATGCCGCCTTGTCCGGCATGGGCCGGAGGCGCGTGCGGAAGGGCCAAAATCGGAACAACTCTGCACAAGAGTGCGGAGCCCGCCGGGGCTCCCGTGCCGCACCGCCCCCATCGTGTCCCTGCCCCGCGTGTGGGGGCAGGGAGGGCCGGGGCCTGGGAATGAACATGAAAAAGATCCAGGAAGCCGTACCATTCAGCCTCGCCCTCACGAGGAAATGCACCAAGCAAAAAACAATTTAGATAGATATTGCCAGAAACCTGCCCAGCATTCCAAGCTCCACCTCCAAAGCAAGCGGCGCTGGCACGACCAAAAGCACACCTACCCCGAGGACGCGTAATGAGGGATACAGCCGTAGGCGATCCACGTGCCATTCTATGCAACTCCATGGGTGACACAAGTGTGTGTACAAGAAAGGCGGACAACAGTCGGGCTCCACAGCGGACGACAGTCGACACTATGAAGGCAGTAGGGCCTGCTCCCAAAAAGAACGGAAGTGAAGAACAGGCCTCAACGATGCTTGCAATAGAAACCTAAGTTAGTGATAGCGGCACAGGAGGGCATGCTTCAAAAGACACGGCTGTAAAGCCCCTCTGGCCAGCAAGGATACCATGCAGAGGAGAAGAGGAAGGACGACGACGACGGCCACGAGGACGACGAGGAGGAAGACGCACCTTGCTGGCCAGACACGCCGGAAGTTAGCCCACTGAGGGCCAGGTGGCATGGGTGGACAGGAAAGAGTATTTCAGCAAAATGCTAGGAATGCGAGGCCCCCTGTAGCCGCGAGCCTCGCGACCCTGAAAGCCCGTGGAGACCCCCACGAGCCCCGCCCGCACGGCGCAGGTGCCGTCACAGCCGTACGGCTGCGGTACCACCTTGTGGCCGCGGGGCTGTGAGATCGTTAGCCGCTGTCAGTCGCACATGTTCCTGCTGTACGTGCTGATCGCGTTCCTCGTGGGACCTCGTAGAGGTGATCTCTCCCAGCGGGCCGTCCTGGGGCTGTCTTGGGCTTCTGAGGGACAGTCTTGGGGCTCCGAACCGGCCGGGCCGGGCTCCCGGGGGAGGGGCTTACGGAGGGTAGGAGAGTGAGGCGGATCCCTTAGGATACTTCACATGAACCCTACCACGCCTCAACGTGCTGATGATGATGCTGATGCTGATGATGGTGATGATGATGATGCTGATGATGCTGATGATTATGATGACGACAGTGATGACGACGATGCTGATGATTCTGCTGCTGCTGATGGCTATGACGATGATGAGGCTGCTGATGCTACTGACGATGCTGATGATGCTGATGATGCTGATGCTGGTGATGATGATGACAATGATGATGACGATGCTGATGTTGCTGATGATGATGCTGATGCTGATGCTGATGAGGATGCTGATGTTGCTCATGCTGGTGATGACGATGGTGCTGATGATGATGCTAATATTGCTGATGATGCTGATGCTAATGGTGATGATGATGATGGCGATGATGATGAGGATGGCGACATTGATGATGACGACGATGATGGTGGTGGTGATGATGACGTGATGTTGATGATGCTGATGCTGATGCTGATGCTGATGATGATTATGATGAGGATGCTTATGCTGATGCTGATGCTGATGATGATGAGGATGGGGATGATAATGAGGATGAGGATGAGGATGATGACGATCATGATGATGATGATGATGATGATGATGCTGCTGATTCTGATGATGATGATGATGATGATGATGATCAGAATCATGATCATGATGACGATGCTGTTGCTGATGATGATGATGAGGATGATGATGATAATGATGACGATCATGATGATGATGATGATGCTGATGTTGATGATGATGATGCTGATTATGATTATGATGATGATGATGATAATGATGATGATGATGATGATGATGATGATGATGCTGATGCTGATGCTGATGCTGATGCTGATGCTGCTGCTGCTGCTGATGATGATGATGATGCTGATGATGATGATGATGCTGATGCTGATGCTGATGCTGATGCTGATGATGATGATAATGATGATGATGATGATGATGATGATGATGATGATGATGATGATGATGATGGTGATGATGATGATGATGATGATGATGATGATGCTGATGATGGTAAAGGTGATTGAGATGCTGATGGTTATGGTGATGGCCATCGACATCGTCAACATCAGGGCGCGGTGACGGATTTTTGCCATGACTGAGTATGCAGTGGTGAACTATTTCTTGAGCATGGCATTCGGCATGAACCCGCCGCAGTCGGCTCTGGGTATGCGGCACAAGCACGTGCGTGCCAAGTGGAGGCTGACGCAGGTGATGCTGATGCGACAGGATGAGCTATTCGGGGGCAGCGATAGAGGGGGGGATTGGCATAGGTCAGCCACGCGCAGAGAGGGGAAGGGGGAGGGGGGAAGGCTTCTTAGAAGCACCCCCGCTTTTTAGAAGGCGCGGGCCTTGTCTGTAGATGTAGGGCCGACGCCTTCTAAGAAGCAACCTCCTTCTAAGCCTCCCCCCCACCCGCTTCCCCCTTGCGCGCGCCGCCAAATAGGGGGGGATGCATCGACCCTCAAAATCGCCTGTGGACCGCCGAGAGGGGCGCGATAGCCCCACATCGCCCAGGACGGTGCGGAGTCGCCATCGGGGATCTATCGCCGATCTACCGGCGATGTACAGTCAACCATGATAGTAAGGATGGGGCAACTTTCCCTTCGGTATTCGGCCTCCTTCGGCATTCTGCTGCGCTCCGCGCGGAAAACGTCAACATGGCGTTCCAAGGCCCTGGTATCCTTACCGCGCATCCTTACTATCCTGGTCGAGTGTATCGCCGATTCCAGGTCGAACTTTCCCCCCATGCTTTCCCCCCTATCGCTGCCCCTCAGCTATGGACGCCCGAGGGGCGCAGTGGACTCATGAATCGCCTCGCGACCTTCCGCGACGGCCGCCTCAATGCCCTTGTGGAGGGGGTGCTGGGGACCACGAGGACGCTTTCGCGCGAGATGCTTGGAGACTTCCCACGACAAAGAAGTGACGATAGCGACAGCGACTGTCTACTGGACACCTCGTGGTACGAGGACGACAGCCCTCTTGACGACGACGAGCTGCTGGACTTCTTCGCCGCGGCGGACCGCAGTCTGAAGGAGTCACTGTCTTTCGAGGACATTCTGTCGGTGGTGGACTTGCTGGCGTTTGATGAGGTGGACGAGGGCGAGCTGCGGTTGCAGTTTGACCTGGCCGCGAGCTCTGGCAACGAGCTGAAGAATAGCCACCACAAGGGGGAGCTGGACTTGGCACAGTTTAGGTGCTTCGTGTCCAAAGTCGTTTCGGGACTGAACGAGCGAGGGCGCTGGCCACACCCGCCCTCTCACTTGCACCCCTCCCTGGTGATCTTCCGGCGGAGGGTCACCTGGCGGCTGGACGAAGAGCCGACCATGGTGGATGCTTGGATGCGGAGGGTCATGCTCCCAGTACTGGTTCTGTGGAACCTTGCCTACGTGTGGGTGTGGCTGAGCAAGGATCAGGAGGGAAAAAGCACAGACACAAATGATCGTCGATTCCCCGAGATATTCCCCAATCAGAGCTTACCTCTGTAGGGGTCCTAGCGGATTCATATGGTTAGGTTAGGTTTGTCGCCGATTTTCGCTGCACGCCGGGGTGCGCGGGTGCCCGGGGTGCCCGGGGCCCGGGTGCCCGGGGGGAGCCCAGGGGTGCCCGGGTGCCCGGGTGCCCGAGTGCCCGGGTGCCCGGGCGTGCCCAGGGGTGCCCAGGGGTGCCTGGGGGTGCCCTATAGCCCTAAGCCCTATAGCCCTATAGCCCTATAGCCCAATAGCCCAATAGCCCTACAGCCCTACAACTCTATAGCCCTATAGCTCTATAGCCCTATAGCTCAATAGCCCTATAGCCCTACAGCCCCCTAGCCCTATAGCCCTGATTGGGATTTTTCTCTGGTATCATCTTATAAAACATGGGAGGTGGGGGGGAGGAAGACGAACATCCAGAGAATGTGTAAACAGATGGGGAAGCCTCGGATTGTGTCTAATTATTCGTGTGCCCCCGGGCCTCTTCAAAGGACCCTGCCGCGTGCGCCACCAGAATGGGAACAGCAATCACGAAGACAGCAACAATTGAATCAGAGTACCTTTTTCCTCGATTCTCCGATGCTATCGTGATCAGTCTCTCTCTGACAAGGCCTGCAAGAGATGCTCTGGATGGTTCGGTCAGGCTGGAGCTTCCGGTAGTTGAACACCTGTTGCTGCGATCGCGGCTCCACGAACAGAAGCCGACCGAACAAATCCGTTTGGACACGGAAGACTTGGCTCCCATTCTTAGGGGAACGAAGAACGACATGAACATAAGAACTCGGAGTCCCGCGCGGAGTTCTCGGATCGGCGCAGGGCCCCCCTCCCTGGCGCGTGGAGCGCGCCAGGGGCGGCGCCGGAGGCGCCGCCAGGGGGGCGTCCAGCGCGGATCCGAGAAGTCCGCGCGGACCTCCGAGTCTTTAAGTTTATGCCATTCTTCGTTCCCCTACTTACGGGCCCCTTCAAAGGTCACCGGGCGCGTTCCACTGCTCGCAGATTGCCTACTCGCAAACGTCCGAAACAAAATGGCTTCCTCTGTGTAATGCATCGCAGGTCCCTCGCGGCGGATCCAGACCATTTGCGAGTTGTTACTTTGCGAGCACGGTAGGTTCGCCTCGTGTCGACCGGCGGCGACCCTGCCAGCGGCGTTCAACGTTGAACGCCGCGGGCGACCCATAATCGTTCGATGTGGAACGATTTGGACGTTTCGGACACGCCCGATCGTTCAAGGTTGCACGATCCCCGCGGTGTCAGGAACCAACGCCGGGGTCGACACGACACGAACCTACCGTAGGGGAGCGCGCTTGCCCAACAGGACCCTGTCGCGTGCGCCACCCGGAAGTGGCTCGTCGACTCGCGGTCCTACGCCGCGCAGGACGGCGGGAGCCGGAGCGCCTGGAGCTGACGAGCCCCGCCCCCACCGAAGAAGAAGACGAAGAAGAGAGCACTGCATGGGGGCTCCCGAGAGGAGGAGTAGGAGGAAAGAGGAGGACGAGGACGACGAGGAGGAGGAGGAGGAGGAGGAGGAGGAGGAGGAGGAGGAGGAGGAGGAGGAGGAGGAGGAGGAGGAGGAGGAAGAGGCCCCCAAGAGCCCCCAAACATCTCCAAGAGGCCCTCAAGAGGCCCCAAGAGAGCCCCAAGAGAGCCCCCAAGATGCTCCCAGGACGCTCCCAGGAGGACCCCCAAACTGCTCCCTGGGGACCCCCGAGAGCCCTCCGAGGAGACCCCAAGGAGCCTCTCCCGACGGTCCGCGCGGCTTTCCTGGATCGTCCTCTGGCGCCGCCCCTTGCGCGCTCCGCTTTGTAGGTGGCTGGGCTGGTACTCTGGATGGGGTATTTGTCAGGGGGGCGGTGATTAACCTCCCGACTGAGCTTGCCCAATCCCGCGCCCTCCGTCATCCTCCCCCTCCACTTCTTCCTCCTCTTCCTCCAACCCCCCCCCCACCCGTGCCGACAGCACGTGCCCAACCCCCCCAGCGGATTCAAGGGGGTGCCGATCCATGTCCCATCCAGAGTAGGCAAGTCAGAGTGAGGGAGCCCGAGCCGTCTATCTTCTTCCCGGCGCGCGCGTGGCTGCATGGACGGCTGCGTCTCCAGGGGCGATGCTTGGAGGCAGCGCCTGCGAGGGGCGGTACTTGGGGGCAGCGCACCGGGGGCGACACGCGAGGGCAGCTCCCGGGGCGGGATGCTGGGGGGCAGTGCGCGGGGGCGGTGCTTGGAGGCAAGTCCTGGGGGCGATGCTTGGGGGCAGTGCGTGGGGGCGGGCACCTGGGGGCAGCACGCGGGGGGACAAAGCATCTCTGCACACGGCACGTGGGCGGAGGCCCCGCCCCCGCCGCCGCAGGCGCTGGCAAGATCAGTTTTCCCCAGTGCTTTGGCGAGCCCGGCGCCCTCCTGGGCACGGGCGGGGGCCCCCCCCCCCCCCCCCCCGCAGCGCTTCCTGCTTCCTGCTCCCATGTATCTTACCAGCCTGGAACCTATCCCTATCCCTATGTTGGGCATCGCCTCGTCACGATGGCGATCTTGGGGATTCCCTCAGTTTCTGAGGGTGCATCCCTAAGATTGTCATCGCCTTTTGGCGTGTCAATCTCAGGGATAGGAATAAGTTCGAGGCTGGTTAGTACCCTGTCGAGCAGCATCAAGTACAGTTCGTCGCGGCGGGGCTCCTATGGCGGCCCTGCCCGGCCGTGCCGTCCCGCCCGGCCTGCGCCCCAGGCCCTTCTGTGCCGATGGCTCGTCCTCTTCCCCTCCTCTGCCAGTTTTTTGTTGTTAACTGACGAACGAACAACACACACACCCATCCCCATAGGGGGGTCGTTGGGAGGAGGACTGGCTATGGGTATGGGTGCGGGTTGTCGGACCCTGGGGAGCGCTCTCGTTCGAGCGGGGACCCCCATCCGACAGCACGCACCCATAGCCCTCTCCGACCCCACTATTGGATATGGGTGTGTGTTGTTGGTTCGTCATTAGTGCATGCTGCCCCCAACCTTCCGGGTGGTGCCCGCCGATGCGGTGGAGCTTTGGCTCGTGGCGGCACGGCTCTCTCGGACCCTCCCGTGGAGCTGCGGCCCTGCGCATCTCGCGCGGTCGTCTCCCCCTCCCCCCCCAGCCTGCTTGTGCTCTCTCCGCTGCTGTGCGCCTCCTGCTCCTCCTGCTCTTCTTCCTCCTCCTCCTCCTCCTCCTCCTCCTCCTCCTCCTCCTCCTCTAGCCGACCCGTACAGCCGCCTGGGACGCCACCAATGCCACGCTGTTGTGGCTGACGCTGGCGTTGCACGGACTCCTCTCCCGTCGCTCTTCGTCCCCTTGTCCCTCGTCGTGTCTCATCGGCTTTCATCCCCGCACGGGCGCCCTACAGCGGCCTGCATGAGCGGTTGCTCTCTGGTGGCTCACCACGGGAAAACCTTGCGGTGCGTCGTCGCACCTCTCCCTCATTTCTCCGCCCACACGGCCACGCCGAGCGCCTCCTGGCGCTGGCTTGCGGTTTTCGGCTTGCGCAGTCGTTCCCTCTCGTCGTTACCTCTTCGCGTTCTTCGTCTCCTCTCTTGTTCCTCGTCGTGCCCTTCGTTTTCCCTGTCAGCTTCGCCATTTCCCCACATCGCTGGATGCGGCGCATGGGTCTTCGTGTTTGGCTTCTGTCTTCGGTTCTGTATGTCCTGGTCGCTTGCACGTCTAGTTTTCGCTGGCACCACTGTTTGAGACATTGCTATACTGAAGGGTCCCGTGGCATTCTGGGCGATTTTGTCGGCGCCACAATTCGAAGCTGTGTTGACCCTGAGGGCCTTGACATTTGCATGGCACTTTGTGAGGGTACTCGTTGGACGACCCAGGTCGTTTTCGACAAGGTGCTATGGCTCTCGCCTCAGCGTCGCGGACATTCGTTTTTCATCATGGCAGGACTTTGAGAACGTCGAGGATTTCTTCTTCGAAGTGGCGCTCTAAAGGCCCGAATGTTGAGCAGATGTAACAGCTGCGCCGATGGACGGCGGCTCTTTTTCAAAGCGGGTTCTTCGCTCGAGTCTTTCTTGACCCCATTGGCCAGATGAGTAATATTATGCAGCAGTTACGCGGAAGGGCGACGGTTCCTCCTTTCAAGGCGCGTGCCGTCGGCATAATCCGCTGGATGGTCGGAGGCGAGGCTGAGAATGCCGATGTGTGCCGTTGTCGTTGCTGTGGGTTTCTGTTCTTGGTTGTGGTGCATACTCTGGATGAGGCAATCATCGCCCCCTTGGACCATCTGGGAGGGGTAGGGCACCTGCTGTCGGAACGGGTGGAGGGGGGTTGGAGGAGGAGTAGGAGGAGGATGAGAAGGAGGAGGGGGAGGAGGAGGAGAGGAGGAGGAGGAGGAGGAGGAGGAGGAGGGGAGGGAGGAGGAGGAGGGGGAGGAGAGGAGGAGGAGGAGGAGGAGAGAGGAGATGAGGGAGGAGAGGAGGGGGAGGAGGAGGAGGAGGAGGAAGGGAGGAGGAGGAGGAGGAGTGAGGAGGAGGAGGACTGAGGAGGAGGAGAGGAGGACTGAGGAGGACTGAGGAGGAGGAGGAGGAGGAGGGAGGAGGAGGAGGAGGAGGAGGAGGAGGAGAGAGAGGAGAGGACTGAGGAGGAGGGAGGAGGAGGAGGAGGGGAGGAGGAGGAAGGGGGTTTGCGAGGAGGGGACTCCTGGGGCGGGAGGGCCCACTGCAGCGTCGGTGGTGCACCCTGGGGGCTTACGCTGGTCCTTGTCCTCCTCCTCCCCGGACTCTGGTGACGGCCTCGGTGCCGGCTGCTGCGACGACCCCGAGCTCGGAGCACGCGCGGCTGGCCCCCGCGGGCGCCGCCCGGGGCTCTCCGCGCCCGCCGTCCTCTGTGCGTAGGCTGCGAGACTTCGGCGACTCAGTCCTGCTCCTCCTCCTCCTCTTCCTCCTCCTCCTCCTCCTCCTCCTCCTCCTCCTCCTCAGTCCTCCTCAGTCCTCCTCCTCCTCCTCCTCCTCCTCCTCAGTCCTCCTCCTCCTCAGTCCTCCTCCTCCTCCTCCTCCTCCTCCTCCTCCTCCTCCAGCCAGAGCGCGCTGCGGGGCGCTGGCGATCCTCATCGTCGTTCGCTCTCCTTCCCTGGGGGTGCCGGGCCGATTGTGTGTCGATCGCTCACCTCGCTCCTCTCCTGCCGCAATGATCGCGTCCTCCCCTCTCCTCTCATGTTTTCGGCATCCCAGATGGGGTCCGAGCAGATGGGTCGGAGGATCGTGCCGCATCGCTGATGCACCGCGGACGCGACTCTGTGGGGAGCCCTCTATACTCTGTACGCCGACATCGTCGACGTATCGCCGATGCATCGCCGACGTGTCGTCTATGCGGCGAGATCTTCCGACCTCGTCTGCCCTGGCCCATTCGGGAGGCCTCCATCGCCTCGCTCCTCTCCCGCCCTGAGGGGTTTGGAACTAATGGGAAAACATACAAACACACATAGTTTTTTATGTGTGTTTGTGTGTGTGTGTGTGTGTGTGTGTGTGTGTGTGTGTGTGTGTGTGTGTGTTTGTTCCCCCCCCACAGTGTTTTTGTTTTGTTTTTCCCCCACGTGTTTCCCCCCCCCCCCCCCCCCCAGAGGCCTCTGTCGCCTCGCTCCTCTCCCGCCCTGACTGCCACGTCTTCCCCTCTCCCCATCGTGCGCTGCCGCCACGCTCGGGGGTGGCGCCGGGGGGGGGGGGCGCGGGGGGGGCTCGCTCGGCTTCCCCTGTCCCCCGCGTCCTCGTCATGCTCCTGCGAGCTCGTTCCGTGCATGAGATCCCGCCCGCCGTTTTTCCCTGGGGGCTGGGCTGGGCCGTCGGCACGGCCCCGTGAAGAGGGGCCATCCGTCACTTGCCTCGCCGCTCGTTCCGTTCATGGGATCCCGCCCGTAGTGTTTCCCTGGGGGCCGGGCTGGGCCGTCGGCACGGCCCCGGAAAGAGGGGCCATCCGTCGCTTGCCTCGCCGCTCGTTCCGTTCATGAGATCCCGCCCGTCGTTTCCCTGGGGTCTGGGCTGGGCCGTCGGCACGGCCCCGTCAAGAGGGGCCATCCGTCACTTGCCTCGCCGCTCGTTCCGTTCATGAGATCTCGCTCGCAGTTTTTCCCTGGGGGCTGGGCTGGGCCGTCGGTCATGGCCCCGTGAAGAGGGGCCATCCGTCGCTTGCCTCGTTGGTCTCGTAGGGTTCTGGAGTTTTTTTTGGGGGCCAGCGCGCTGCCGTCAGATGATGCTCAAGGCTCACCTGTAAAGCAAAGGTCGGCTCCAAGGTTACAGCTCCACCTATGGCTTGCGAAAGGAAGGCAAAGCTACCCGATACTGAGGTGAGGTGAGGGGGTCCGTGCCAGCCCACCCTCAGCCAAACCAAGCCCTCCGAGCTCCCTGCTCCAGGCTCCCCAGTTAACACTTATGCATTATGAATACTACTCTCCTCTCTCCCCTGACTCTGTGAGGATGATGTTCGACCCTCTCCGCGTATTCTTCTTTACGCAAGATGTCTACACTTTTTTGTTGTTGTTGTTGTTGAAAAGAAGCAGACATCAGAATTCTTCTTCGTGTTCCAGAATGGTGCTCCAGCGTAGCGTGGGCCTCGATTTCGGATCGGCGCTTTGCTCCCGTCATTCGGAATGGCGCTTTCGCCCCAGCGCGGGCCACTTTTCTGGATCCGAGTCCCTTTTTTTTCCTCGCTGTCGCCCCCCCTCATTTCCCCTCCTCCGCCTTCCCCTGGTCCTCCTGCTCCTCCCACTTCTTCCACTCCAGCTCCTGCTGCTGCTGTTCGTCCTCGTTCTCCTCCTTCCTCGTCCTCCTCTTCGACTGCTCATCCTCCTGCTTACCCTTTTCCTCCTGCTCATCCTCCTGCTCACCCGCAATCTCCTCCTCCTCCTCCTCCTCCTCCTCCTCCTCCTCCTCCTCCTCCTTCTCCTCCATACGCAGCCCCCTTTTTCCGATTCCGCATGACACGATGGGATTTGTTATGGAGGTCCAGGCTGGGTATGACACGCGTCCGCGGATAGAGAAACGATCGGCGCAATGGGAAGGGGCGGGAGGGAGGGATAGGACGTCAGACAGGGCGCGAACACACCCAGCTCGCCACTCCCCGCGCCCCCCGCGCCCTCCCTCCGCCCCCCCCGCCACTCCGCCTCGCCGCTGCCGGCTCCCCGTCCCCCCGCCCCCCCTCTGCCCGCGCCCGCCACTCCTCCCCCCCCCCTGCGCATCCCAGGAGACTCCCAGGCTGCGAGCGCTGCAAGCCGGGCGCTCACCCGTGTACGCCCTGGCCGGGCCTCCGGAGCGCCAGGAGTCAGAAGGAGATCACTGCGTTGTCCCACTCTTCCATTCTCCCCCCCCCCCCCCCCCTGCGCCTCCTGGCTGCTCCTCGCTGCCTCCCTCCGCCTCCTGTGCGGGCTCGGTGGCGGGGGCGGGGAGGTTCTCACCGTACCCTGGCGCCCGTGCTGCCAGATACCGCGCGCTTCTGCCAGCAGCTATAGTGAGTGCCGCAGCAAGCTGACCGTCCCCTCGGCGGACCAGAGCGCAATCCAACAAATGGCTCCGCCCCCCCCCCCCCAGGCTGCCGCAGGCAGGGCGAGGAGCTCTTCTGTGCACCGCACGCGCCCGCCGCCGCTGGCCAGGCCGGGCCCTTGGAGCGGTGCCCCATAGGGCGCCCCCCTGGCCCGACCGGGCTGCGGCGCCCGCGCCGCTCCGGATGACGAACGAACAACACACACCCATACCCATAGGGGGGTCGTTGGGAGGAGGACTGGCTATGGGTATGGGTGCGGGTTGTCGGACCCTGGGGAACGCTCCCGTTCGAGCGGGGACCTCCATCCGACAACACGCACCCATAGCCCTCTTCGACACCCCTATGGGTATGGGTGTGTGTGTGTGTGTGTGTGTGTGTGTGTGTGTTGTTGTCTTGCCACTGGAGCCCAGGAAGGGGCCTTGCCAGCGGCCTGAGCGCCGCGCGCAGCAGCCACGAAGGCCCTGCCTGGCCGCCGGGGGCTTACCAGCCTCGAACGTATCCCTATCCCTATCCCTAAGATTGGCACACCAAAAGGCGATGACAATCTTAGGGGTTCGCCCTCAAGAAATACGGGAAGCCCTAAGATTGGCATCGCGATGAGGAGGTGCCCAGCATAGGGATAGGGATATG